TTGAACTTGGTTTTGATCTTCTGAAAAGATAAATAATCTAAAATACTAGTCAGAGTGAAGAAAACACACTGTCTATATATTTTGCACGTTTGCATCAGACTATTCTAATGTAGAATATGTTTTGAATGTGTGAAGAATAATAATTTTTTAATTTAAGAATAATAATTTTTAAAAAGTAGTTTTTCTATTGAGAAATTGTCTGGTTATCCAAACTCTTTAAAGCATTCTACTGTGTTATATGTATTTTAAATGTCACTTTTTGGATACAATAGCTAGTAATCTCATATAATGGGTTGAAAATTATCTTTTACCCATCTGGAAGGAATTAATTGTAATTCCTTGTAGAATTGTAGAAATTCTATTTTATGAATAGGGTAGGATTTCATGTGAAAAGCTGTGGTTTAACCCCAGCCTGCCAACAAGCCGCAGGCAGCTGCTTGTTCAGTCCCCCATCGGAGAGATCTGGGAGAGAATGGGAAGGGTAAAAGCCAGAATACTCATGAGTTGAGATATAGACAGTTTAATAGGGAAAACAAAAGCCATGCACTCAAGTGAAGCAAGACAAGAAATTATTTCACTGTCTCCCATGTGCAGGCCGGTGTTCAGCCATCTCCAGGAGAGCAGGCTCCCATCATGCGTAGTGCTTGATTGGAAAGACAAATGCCATCACTTCAAATGTTCCCCCTTCCTCCTTCTTCCCCTCACCTTTCTGTATGGAGCATGATGTCACATGGTGTGGAAATCCCTTTGGTCACTTTGGGTCACCTGTCCCAGCTGTGTCTCCTCCCAACCTCTCATGCACCCCCAGCTTCCTCACCAATGTGGAAGTACAAACAGCAGAAAAGGGCTTGAATCTGTGTAAGCCCTGCTGAGCAATAACAAAAACATCTCAGTATTATCAACCTTGTGTTCAGCACAGGTCCAAAACACAGCCACTGTGAAGAAAATTAACTCTTCCCCAGCTGAAAACAGCACAAATGTATTAAGCCCTTTCACTTTAAAATTAGGTTTGATAAATAATACTGTCTCGTCTTTTCCTCAAAAACACAGCAAACTTTTGGTTGAGTGATATTGAAATAAGGGATAAAGTAAAGAAGTGAGAAGAATTATACTTCAGGGAATGCAAATTTTATAAAACCTCCCATCAAGTTCTGGAATATCACTTCAAATAGTTGTTTAGCTGTACAGCTTATCCAACCAGAGCCAGCTTGAAGCAGAGGCTGTTCAAGTAACTCCCTACTTTAATAAATGCTTCTCTGTCTTCTACCACATCAGAAGTGCTTTCAAGTAACGTAAGTGTACTGTTTCCTCTGAGGCAGGGAAGGGTGAGAAGGAGGGGTAATGTGAAAGGTAGAGGAGGGGAGAAAATAAAGTACTGCAGACATAGCTAGCTAGGAAGGTGGGAGATGCTCTTCCCAAACTCATTTCTCAAACCAGACATTTCATAAATTAGAAAAACAAGCACATAAATACAACCAACTCTATATTGAGTAGGAAGTGTAACTGCAGGTAACATAAAATTGAACATTTGCTTTCATCTTTTCCCTGCTTCCATTTGTTCTGCAAGTGCATAAACTTTCCAGACTTGTTAAAGAGATGATTTCTGTAAGCAGGACCACAATGTACGTTGATATCTGTGTGTACTATGAACATATCCATAAAACTTTAGGCATGATGATGACAGCACTAAACAAACAGACTTCTGTGACAAGAGATTTGAATGTGCTGAAGAAATTGCAGTCTTTCAGGTTATCAGGAATGCAGAAACAAATAAAAAAATCTCCCAATAAACACAAAGCAGCAACCTTACAGTTTATATGTGTTTTGAATTGTGAGGGCTTTTGGCTGGAAGAACCTATCATTAAAGATTTGAAAGCACTCAAACACACCTGATAAAAGCAAGTCCATCTTCCACATTTTTCAGCCTAATAATGGAACCTGTTATTAAGTGACCTTGAAGGAACTTTCCAAATAGAACAAAGAAAATGCAAATCTATAGCAATTCTGTTCTTAAAGCTAAATGGAGCACTGATGTTAAAGTACCTATGGAAAAAAAAATACAACAACCTTATTTTTTAAAACATGGGCAAATTTACTTATTTAGAACCAATTGCTACATGAATCACAGAGGACATATTTTACAGAAAGAAAAAGCATGGCTAACATCCACCTCTGCAAGATATAATCTTATATTTGGATGTAAATGCTGTCTCACTGGATTTAACAGGTCAAAATACTGCAAAAACGACACTCTGCACAGTTAAAAGTAAATTCTTACACTTGATAATCCCATACATGTGAAAAGTCACTCTGTGCTCTGGCATAGGCTGAAATAGAAAAAACTGCATTAAATTAGCATTTCAGTAAATGTACTAAGTTATCTGAGTTCCGTTACAAAGCTGCAAAAATTTGTGAGAGTAATAAAAAGCAATCTGATTAAACATAATTTAAGATTCACCTGCTAAGCACCTGTATCAGCTGGCTAAAACAGTATTAATGTTGATGTATTTAGCTAGCTCTGAAATTCTTTAAAGGTGGCAGTCTCGCTATATAATGAAAAAAAGCAAAGGAAAGAAAAGAAGTCATCAGGTTTGTGTGACCTTCAACTACTATAAAAATATCCAGAAAAGATGGAAAGTGAATTAAGTGAAGAAATACTTTTACCAGTATATTTTTGGACCACATTCAATATTTTCAATATGTATAATAAAAATAAAAATTGCTTTTAGTAAAAAAAAAATAAACCCCCAGCCCTTAATGCCCCTTAACTGGAGAAAGGGCATGCAGCAATTCTAGATATTTCTTAAGCTACATCCCTTAGAATTAAGACACCCCCAGCCTTGAAAACTTTGGTTTACTGTTTTAGAGCTGTCGTCAATCCAGTGCCCCTACGCACGACATCCTACACATCCCAGATTACAAAAGAAGATTTTAAGCTGGAGGGGACTTGCTTTTCCATTGGTGTAGTGGGAGAAACAGAAGAAAGTGCAGAAAATTAGTCAAATTGTATAAAATCAAAAGTAGAAACATCCTCTTAATACATAATTGTATTATCTGTATGGAGTCATAGTATTTTCCTTGTCCCATTAATGTGGAACGTTATCAAAAGGTCTTGGAAATAAGCATAGGTACAGCAGAGGTAGTATTCCAGCTAGGGTATGTAATTACATGACACCAGACATTGCTGGGGTGAAAGTTAGAGGGGTCTGGTGGGTAAAAGCCCTGCCAGATTGTACGGAAAAGGTAATTTACACACGTGGTTCATACAGTTGGTTTCCACGCCCATCATCTCAGCAGCTATACTGCAGTCATTTGGTATGGTCTCAAAAGCATTTTAATGCTGTATAGATACTCTTGAATGATCTTATATTACCCTATATTACCCTGGGTTACCTCTCTTTTTTTAGTGTGATTCTGCCTTCACTGAATGACACCTTTCAGTCTAATATTGAGCTCTGCAATGCCTGTTTGTTCTTCTTTTTGTCATTGGACAAGGCTTTTTCCTTTGCTGCTTTCTTAAAAACTCTAGGTGTTGTGCAGAATATGCTTTGAGAATGGAATTTCCTAGGCTTTTTTTTCTCTCTGTTTCATTTCCTTTTATTTACTGTCTTTCTATATTTTTGACCATATTATGAGTTCAGAATTCCCAGTTATCTTAACAGGAGCTTGGCTTTATTAGGGGTAATAGGGTAACAGCCAAAGTAGCTTTCTAATATCTTTTACTGTAGTCTGTAAGTGTTGCATCTCTGTTGCACGTTGCTATGTGAGGTTTTCAAATGACCAGCCAATCCATGTCACTTCAAATATTTCATAGTGGTTTTTATCCTCCCAAAAATCTAATTTTTCTTGTGTCTGTTGTGTTTCCAGTCCTGTTGTTATTACAGTTTAGCTCAATACTGCTTGGCAGTATTTATCTTGTTCTTGCAATTAGGAAAAAAAATTCTGTTTTCCGAATATCTCCATTAATCATAATTATCAAGTGAGATCTGCAGTAACTGTTTTTCTCTTACTTTATATTAAGGTGTGCATGTACATGCATGGAGACATACTCATGTAAAATCAACCTTTTTGGCACAGCAGATACAGGCCTTGTGACAATCAGTAAGAGCAGTTCCACCCAGTTTATAATGAAAAGATAGGAAAAACCCCAAAGCTTTATCCCAAACAGATAATGTTTCTTTCACAGGCGTTCACTGTTGCCATGTTAGCATGATTGAGCAGTTCTGAGCTGCCACATTAATTAATGTGTGGTACAAAAGAATGTAACAATTAAGTTCACATGAAGAATAGATTTTTTTCTGAAAACAAATACATTCATTCTTTAAAATGAACTTCAAAATTATTTAGCAATGGAAAATAGAACAAATAGCTAATTTCTGTTCTTTCTCATTAATCATGCCACAGAAGGGAAGGTTTATTTAGCCCTGAAAATGCAAACTCTCCACAATTCTTAGTTTATACCTTGAAATTGTGATAAAATATCCCAGACTGCACAATAAGACTAAAGTGAAAACCTGGCTTATCAGTTTTCTAGCAAGCTGTGTGATGAGTATGACCTCTTGTGTTAGACATGGGAATATTCTTTTTTTTTTTTTTTTTTATTCACACAATGAAATAACCAAGACTAAATATCTAAAAGCTTGTAATAGCACTGTCCTTGCATTTCAGCAAATACACAGGATAGCAGAAGCAGAGATATAACATTTGGGACTTGTGACTTCTATATGTGAATTAGAAAATAAATGCAATAATTTCCCCATATAGCATAAAGATATCAGATACTTTAGTGTAACAAGACCTAAAAGGATATTTTTCTTCTTCTTCAGAATTCTAATATAAGCTTCCATGATCAGAGTAGATGAAGTTACAGGACAGAGACTTGGTGACTTCTAAATAAAACATGTAGATTTACAAATTTCTTAAAAGGCTTTCTAAGATAAACTAGGTCAGGACAATTTATATCCTGGTAAAATGAAAGCTTAAAAGAAAGTACCTTTAAGGAAAATTAAGGACACAGCTTGAACAAAAAAGGACAGATCGAACCTTGCCTATCTAATTTTTAACTAGTTCACAAAACATGTATTTTGAAAGCAAGCTTCAGCAAGAATGAAGCAGAATAGTAGAACAGTAGAATTAGAGAATAGTAGAAGCCCAGCTTCTCTAGGATTTTAATTTCCAAAGATTCCTGAGATTCATGCATATTTTAAAAAACAGGCAAAATGGGACAAGAAAGATAGAATTACAGCACTGTGTTTTTTTCAAAGAGAACGGAATATCTGAAACTGTGTTAAGAGTTCATATTAACTATTATGGACTATAATAGCCTGTTCATTCTTAAGAATGAAAGCACTTTTTATCTTGGCCATTGGTGTTCAGGGAAATTAGTGCAATATTGAGCATCCAGATACGCTTCCGTGTAACTTAATAACTGAAGTATTTTTTCATTTGTGCAATGAAGTGTGTGTAGATTTTTATTCAAAACTTGGTTGTAAGACAAATTTTTACTTATCACAAGACATTATGATTTTGTGTATTGTATATATTCCGACTTATGAGTGCTTTTTCAAAATAGCATGCTATGCAAACATAGCTAAATTTTGGTCTGTCTCTAAATAATTTATCTATATTGTAACCCATGATAATCACTACATTAGTGAGGCTTGTTTCATTGTGTGACTGATACGTGTATTACTTTAAAAGCTACATCTTGATTAGGAATTAACTTTAAAATTTTATAACAGAGCATATTTAAAAACTTTGCTAATGACACTGCCTCACTCATCTTTCTAACCTACAACTCATCTAAGGATTTCAAAGGAAATTGAATGTCACAGGAGACACAGAAATTACAAAGATGCAGGCTTTTGTCCTAGAAAGGCTGGTGGATTTTGCCTTTAATATTGCCGAGAAATTAAAGATGTAAGGAAATCTTTCATGCTATCAAATATTGACTGGGGAAAAAAATAAGGAAGAAAAAAATAAATATACACCCCTTATAGTCTTGCCTAGTTGACATCTGACAGGAATGACACAGCTGTAACAAGGTAAATCACTTCTCATTTTCATAATTCTTTCCTTAAATAATCTTTCCTTAAATATATGGAGAAAGCAGACTTTACCTGACGCAGACATGGCTCTGCCTAACGGAGCTGCCAGAGCAGATTACTCAGTGGGGGCTTGGGAGGCAAAGAAAGGGGAAAAGGCAAAATGGCAGCATACAACCAACTTGAGGACCGTGCAGGCAGTGCACGGCGGGGAGCCGCAGGCGGAGGGCAGCTACTCAGTGACACCGGTCCCGTTTCCCGGTACAGCTCCTGCCGACCCGGCGGAGCAGCTCTGCAGCCCTCGAACCACCCCCGGCTGCCGCCCCGGCCGCGCCTCTCCCTCCTCCGGCTGCGGGAGGAAGGAGCAGCCGGCAGAAGCCGCGGGTCCCCCGACCCGTCCTTCGGGACAGGCCCGGGATGTGCCGGGGAGGGCTCCCCGCCCCGCCCCGCGCCGCGGCCCCTTCCCGCTCTCTGCGGCCCGGGGCGGCGGGCGCGCAGCGAGCCCCGCGCTGTGTTTTGCAGGGCGGCGGCGGCGGCGGCGCTGCTGGACAGCTCCGGAGCGCGACGCGGCGCCCATGTTCCGGAGACGGCGCAGATGTGAGTGGGGAGCCGGGGAGAGCCGCCGGGGAGAGCCGCGGCGGAGCCCCTCCGCCGACAGGCGGGGGAGATCCCGGGAGCGAGCGCGCTCCCCGCCCCCGGGAAGCCCCGGGTTTCCGCGGCGCGGGCGGGGCGGGCGGGGGGCGAGGGCAGCCCTCACCTGCGGGGGGCGGGAGGCGGGATCCCCGCGGGCGGGGGCCCCGCGCCCCCGCTGACGGCGCGGCCGCCCCGCCCCCGCCAGGTGACGTGATGCCCGTTGTTTTGGTGCGCCCGACCAATCGGACGCGGCGGCTGGATTCTACGGGAGCCGGGATGGGCCCGTCGTGGCGGCAGCAGGACGCTCCCCTGCCGACCGTCACGCATTGCGCAGGGTGCACTACCGCCCGGTCCTCCTGCGGCTTTAACGGCCCCGGCATGGACCCGCCGCGCCACTTCCCGGCGGGCTTCGGCCCCGAGCAGCAGCAGCCGCAGCAGCAGCACCACCAGCAACAGCAGCAGCAGCGCCCGCCGGCGCCGCCGCACTGCCAGCAGCACGGCCAGGACAAGCAGAGCCTCCAGCAGCAGCAGCAGCAGCAGCAGCAGAGCCCGTGCCTCCAGTGCAACAACTGCGCCTACTACGGGGCTGCTGCGGCAGCCGCGGGGGATAACCTGCCCCTGCTGCTCCGCGCCTCCTCGCCGCTTTCGGGCGCCTTTCGGACGCACTCCTCGCCGCTGTCTTCCGCCGCCTCCTCCCGGCACGGCAGCCAGCTGAACGTCAGCGAGTTCACCCCGTCCAGCCATGCTGGCGCGTCCAGACAGCCTCACCAATATTCCCAGTACCACCAGTGCCATAGCCTGCAGCAGCAGCAGGCAGCCAGCCCCAGCAGCAGTGTCAGCAGCAGCAGCACTCACCACCATCATCACCACCACCATCACCACCACCATCACCAGCAGCAGCAGCGCCGGGAGAGCAACCCCTTCACCGAAATAGCCATGAGCAGCTGCAGGTACAACGGCGGCGTCATGCGGCCGCTCAGCAACCTGAGCTCGTCCCGCAGGAACCTGCACGATCTGGACTCCGAGTCGCAGCCGCTCCAGGCGCCGCTCGCCAGCCCCGCCGCCGCCGGCTCTGCCCCCGCCGCCGGCAGCCCCGCCGCCCCGGAGATCGTGGTCTCCAAGCCCGAACACAACAACTCCAACAACCTGGCGCTGTACAGCTCCGCCGGCCCCGGCCCCGGCCCCGGCACGGGAAGCTCCAACAACGGCGGGGGCAAGTCCAGCAAGAAGAAGAACCAGAACATCGGCTACAAGCTGGGACACCGCCGGGCTCTCTTCGAGAAGCGTAAGCGCCTCAGCGACTACGCGCTCATCTTCGGCATGTTCGGCATCGTCGTCATGGTCATCGAGACCGAACTCTCCTGGGGCGCCTACACCAAGGTACCAGCTCGGCGGCAGCCGGTCCCACCGCCCGCGGCCCCCGCCCCGTCCCCGTCCCGTGGTGTCCCGCCGTCTCCTCGGGCCGGGGTGGCGGCGGGGCGGAGCGGCCCGCGCATGGGATCTCTGAGGAACGGCGGTGTCTTTCTCTTGCAGGAGTCTCTGTATTCCCTCGCTCTGAAATGCCTTATTAGCCTCTCCACGATTATCCTGCTCGGGCTCATCATCGTGTACCACGCAAGAGAAATCCAGGTAACGTTTCCTTCTGTGGGTCAGGGAGTGTTGCTGGCTCGGGGTGGGGGGTGCGAGGCGGTTTGTCCAGGGGAGCTGCGGCGGTAAGTACTGGGCACGTCCTGCCGCTTCAGAAGGCAAACGTGGTCTCTGCAAGCCTGCCGAAGTTGGTGAATGGACCTCAGCCCTGGAGACGGGCACCAAGCGACGGGCAGAGAGCAGCCAGGAAGCTTTGCCTGCTGGGGAATTCTGCCTGCTAGGAACTGTTGTCTGCAGTTGTGCTATTGGATTGCCTAGCCTTAAGGTTATAACCTGCTTTCCAGGTGATGTGCCTGTCGTCTCCTGCAGCAGATGTGCAGCAATAGTCTTTTATTTTTCAGTGACTAAATTTCATGCTGTGCATGTTCTCTTGACGGTAAGGTTAATGGTCTTCACTGTGCAAGGTATGTAATCCTCAGTGAGCTGTCTGAAATAGGAGTATACTCTAGGAGAGTGTTTAAAAGGAGGGGGGAGATTTGAGATTTGATTTGTTTTATTTAATGCTGTAGTGTCTAGGAATGTGACCAGAGAAAAGTGTTAAGAAGAAAAGGGCTAAAGGTAAGAGGAACATAAAGGTCAAAGATATAGAATAAATCTCACAGATACTGTCACAGGTTCTGTCCAGGTGACTTAGTCCTAATTTCAGCTTCAATTTTTTTTTGACCAAGAAATTAAAATGTAGCATTTAATCTCAACCAACTGTACAACAGACAGAATTCAAAGTTTTGAAGGGAAAAAACCTTACTCATAGATATAGTGCCTTTGCTTTTTCAGAGACTCCTTGAGCTGAAGACTGAAATGTCAGGTTTCAAGGGCAATGAAGACTTTTCCACTGGTACCAGTCAGTTAAATAAAAAATAAAATATTAAGCATTGTATACTACAATTCTTCTTCTGTGCAAATGAGTGCATGTAGTTTCGATATGAGATGGTACATAGTCTCCTTGACACTCACACTTGGGGTAGTGTTTGAAAAGTATTATGTCACTGAAGACTTTTTCCCTAATTGAATCCTGCTGTACAGTTTTTGCACATGCAAAACTTCTTTTCCTGGCTCAGAACCCATTTTTTTCTGTGTTAATGCCAAAGGTATTGAAAGCTGTTTAATGATATTGTATTGAATAAACAAGTATGCTGTAGAGAGAACAAATTTATAAACTACAAGAGTACTGAGGAACAGGTTTCTTTATCAGTATAAAAATAAATAAGTAGCACCCCTGCAGTGTGGGATCCTTATCTGGTCTATCTTCCCACAAATGTTTCTTCAGGCATGAATCTCAAAGCTTAAAACAAGCCCTCTCTAAATGTTTAAAATATTCTATGCATTTTTCAGAAACTTTAAGTGAAGAATTTTGTGGAAGATAAATAATTGAATGAAATAGTTGAATGAAAATGAAATAACTAGGTCTGTGCAGGTACCCCAGCTTATACTGAATAGTTACTCCGAGATTATATTATTTGTTGGGTTTTTTCAGGAAAATATTTTAAAATTTTCATTGTCTTAGGAATCAGATCCCTTATGGATCAAAAAAAAAATATTTTCAAAAAATTGTCATTCCATTTTGTTTTTGTTTTTTTTTTAACTGATTGTTTTAAATAACTTCCTTATGTATGCAACTCCATGGCAGGAGTTGTTCAATCATACGGCTTAATCATGGTTAATGTGGTTTTCAGTGCCACCGGACAGAGCACAAGTATACCTACCTGCAAAGCAGCAATACCCCATGTTTCAGAATGAGAGACACCAGAAACTGCAGTAGTCATGACAGTGCCTGGAGGAGCTGCAGCTTCAAGGGGTTCTGTCATCCAAATCAAAAGTGAAGTTCTCTGTTTCAAGGAGTTTGTTACAAGGAAAGGATGTAGTACCCTTTGTAGCTCTTAGATATCTGCTCACTTTTGAATTTTAGCATAGTATGTTTTTCTGCACACACTTGACTTTTAAAAAATATGATGATGTGAGTGCAGGGCAAAGGCTGTATCAATTCTATGGTAATAAAATATATGTTGCACTAGACACCAGGGGAAAATGATATCTTTAAAATCTCTTGGCTAAGTGCATAATGTACATTGTGTTCTCCAGGCAAAGGAAGATACTGTGTAACCCTGATAATGTAATGTTTTTAAAATAACCTTTAAAGCAGACTGTTTTCTGAAGGCAGACATGTCATTTGTTCAAGAAAACATTCTGCTCTGTGCAGAAGAATGAATAAGGTCTGTAGAACAGAGCCCACAGTTGGTTGGTTGTGTCCTGGAGGACTTTTTGCACCAGCTATTTGTCAGTCTGTTCCCGTTGAAACATTCTTTTCTCATTATTATCTGAAACATACTTAAATATTTCTTATAGTGTAAATAAGCAGGAATTCATTGAGAGAGGAAAATTTGTTCTGTAGAGCAGAAGAAGGCGGTTGTATTCACCTTGCGGCTGTGGTGTCTTTCATACTCTGGTGGGAGTAGGCCAACCTTTGCATAAGTAGATTTTTCTACAAAGCATGAAGCAAAAAAAAAAAAGTTGGGGAATAAGGAGCGGACAGTTTAGTAATTATTACTGAGTGCAGGATGAATACTGACTGAGAAACTCCTGTTGACCTAGAATGCTGGCAAGTGGAAGTCAGCTTTTTCATTCTTCTCAGTAGTCTTTGACCTTGATTTATTGGTAGGAAGATCAAACAGCCATGCTGCAAGGATATCCGTGGGACGGTGCCTAGCAGCACAGCAGGTGGCTTTAGTCTTCTCTTGAAGTGACATTACTTGTATGTTTTGTTTTAAAAAATCAGCCAGTTAAACCAGTCTCTACAGTTTGCCTGCCCCAGACTTGCTGCCTTTTTTAAGGGAGTTGGGAGGGAAGTTTATAAAGGTTTGCCAAGATTCTTCCCAAGCCGAGAAGTGGTACAGCAGCGTAAGACAAGTGAGTTTTGGTCTTATCCCGCGGTCAGACCGCGGTGGGTGCGCGGTGGGGTGCTCGGGTGCGGCCGGGGCGGTGTGCAGCCGCCGCTTCAGCACCGCGGACAGCTCCGCGCGGAGCGCCCGGCTCGGCGCCGCGCCCCGGAGCCCGGGCATGGCTCTGCCCCTGGCAGACCAACGTCTCCAGAAGGGTGGTAGCTGCGGTGTGCAGACAGGGCTAACTGTAGGGGTGCTGAGTAGCCTTTGTGAAATACTGGAACTGTTTAAACATTTTCCACAAATATGTTTTCAGTGATGACGCTGTATTAGCCAGACTCCAGGAGTAAAAATGTGAGCTGTTATGAATTTTAATAAATGTGAGTTAGTGTTAGGAATGCAGTCAAGGTCAGTTGGAAACAGTTGGGTTCAAATGCTAATTCATAGCTTAATTTATCATTTCCCGAAAAGAGGATAAAAATTGTGAGCATTTGCTTCACGTCCTTCCCCCTTCTAGAAAAAATCCTAATGAGAAACAGTAACAGAATTGGACTTGAGGATAGTGATAACCACAAAATGTGTGTTCATTTTCGTTCCATTTTTGTTGTGTCTATAATGATGTTAAAAACATTACACTTGGGAGATAATGAAATATGCATTGCTCTCTCTCCAGGCCTGTGTGGTTGTTGATTCAGTTCTTCAGAGCAAGTGCTTTGTGTTTGAAAGATCAATGGGAAAAATGTAATTCATCATTATCCCACACTAGAACAGGTATTTCTCTGACTGTTACTCCGGTTGAGAGTTTGAAGAGGTGAAAGAGGGAAGAGCTAAAAAGACATTACCCAATTTTCATAATAATTTTTGATATACTAATTATCCACTTCATGCATAAACAGTTTGTTACTTAATACTATTTTACATAATTAAAGCAGAGGCTGTATGTAACATAATTAAAATTGTATTCTTTAGAACTTACTGATCCATTCCACATTCCTCTAGCGGAATTCAATCCATAAATAAAAGGGAATTTAAGAAAGTTTTGAGTGGGGGTTTTCAAGGTAAATGTGCAGTTTTTCTCATTTTGTTTAAAAATGGACCTCTCTGCGTGTCTCTAGATGATTAGAGATAGAAATGCACTATCTTTTTAACTATTCACCCCTGAACTAATACTGACACTTTCTTGTATTACAAAGAGCAAAAGGATTAAATCAAAAGTCTGTGAGACTGCCATTCAGTGTTTTGTTGGGCATTCCACCACAGCCGAGTATTTCTTCAGAGATGGTGGTCAGTGGAAGAATATATCCACTGGAACACTTCTTTAATGCTGGCCTGCTTATTGTACCCTTTCTGTAAATAAACATACTACCTGTCCTGAATAATAGTAACGTGAGTATTGCTAACCTGTGCTGTCTCAGACAGCATCTGAGCTTCTTTTACTTTTTCCTGATACATATGCTGTCACTCGTACAGAATCATGAGAGTTTGTTGGTATTTGTTAAAGCAAATAGAAATCTCACGTGTGTGTGCATATATCCGCTGAAGTTTGTAACCACTTGTAAAATGTATTGCTTGTTTTCACTTCGATAGAACACCTGTTTGTTGGTATTTGTTAAAGCAAATAGAAATCTCACGTGTGTGTGCGTATATCCGCTGAAGTTTGTAACCACTTTTAAAATGTATTGCTTGTTTTTACTTCGATAGAACACCTGCGGAAAGGCTTGGAAACTCCAAGGTTAAGTTTAAGTTATTGCTTGCATAGCAGAGCCTCACAGGGCTGCAGGAAAAAAGCAATATCAGTCCCGACAGGTCTGAAGTGGTGGGAAAACGTGCTACTGATAGATTTGGAGTGAAACATTTTCAGTTGTCATTGCCTTTCTATAAAACTGCCACAGCTGAGAGCCCAAATATCTTGCTGAAGAATCAAGAATCTTCTTTTCCATGTGCCTGAATACTAGAAAAAATTGAACAAGCAGTATCAGGTAACAGAAAAGAATGATAATACATAATACCTGTTTATTGTGCAAATACATCCCATAGTGCATGATGATAATAAGCACAGTTTATGGGAGTTTCATTATTTTACTGGCATAAGTGAAAAGTTTTACT